TATTTTCCTGATGGGCTGCCTGTTTTTAGACAGCAGCAATAAAAATATCAACAGTGCTTCCCCTTGATGTATTAAGCAGACATCGATCCTATAGGAAGAAGCCGAGGGCTGGGTCAGGAGCATGTTGTGAAAAAAAAAGGCAGTAAGACCTCTGCACTCTCTGTAGAGCTGTGTTTATAGGATTTCAACACTGACTTCAAAGTGTAGGAAATGATTGCAGCTTTATCTGTTACTTAGAGCTGCCTTCAAGAGAACTTAAATCCTTTTTTTTTTTTAAAGGCAACAAAAGTAAAGCATATTCTTACCAAAGCCATTTCACCACCCTATCCCTTTTTTGTATGGTTTCTCAAACCCAGCTTCATTAGATTTTTAGCACTCCAAGGCAGGGACACTTTTTAATACATGTTTGTACGGTTCTCAGCACCATGTGGCCTCAATCCTGTTTGTGCTTTTTGGTATCTGCATTAACAAAAGCATTGGCTAATCATCATAAAAACAACTCTTACTTGTGACAATTCCTTGTAATCTATTTCCTAAATTGTATACCCTGTCAACATATTAGAGTTATGCAATGGTTTATTGTTCTGATTTCCATTTAGCTATCTTCCACTCTTTCCCCATGGAAAATGTGTAGATTAGACTAATACTGGAGGCTTATAACTCTACTTGGTGTGTCTTTAGCAGGAACCTGCCTGGCATTAAAAAAGGATCTCTCTGTGTGAAAAGTGAATACCAGCTCAGCTGGCAATGGCAAGTCTAATTAAAAAACATCCAGCAAGACTGAATCCAAACATAATCCTTTGAATAAGGAAGTAAACACTTTCAGGAAGCAGTGCCACTTTATTGGCATTCGTGTTAAAGAAAATCCAAAAAAACAAAAATATAATTTTTGGTTCACATGACTCAATGAAATTTCCAAGTGCAAACAGGAATTTTGTAGTTACTGTTCCTACAAAAATGAAAATGTAGGTTTCAGTCTGAAAATGCAGTGTCTTCAAGCCTTCCAGTTCTTTATAGTTGTCAATAATATTTATGGCTAGGTCCCTGTGTAGACACACAATTGCCTCTGAAACAAAGCGGAACTGCTTTCTGTGATCTCATCCCATTCACAAGTAAAATGCAGGACTGAAATTGAAGTAGTAAATATTTCTTCTTTGTACAAAGATAGCACAGGTAAATGAGGAGAAGTGTTAATTAGCAGAGCTGTACAGGAAATGGAAATTCAGTTCATGGAAATTTTGAAATGAAATCCCAACATTTTCAAATCTTACATTCAAAAAATTAAAATGCATATTTTGGGTTCATCACATTTTTCATTTTGATTTCAACATTTTTATTATATTAGAGCAGGGATGTTGAACATACGGCCTGCAGGCTGGATCTGGCCCATGGAGCCCTGCCATCCAGCCCCAGTGGTGCCTCTGGGTCTGAGCAGACCCACATCCCCATGGGCAGACATGTGCAACGCAGACCTTGGAATGGCTGAAACGTGGTGCCACATATGGAGCAATGGACACCAGACCAGCCAGAGTGGGCACTGTGCTACATGTGGTGCGCACCCCAACCAGACTATGCCACATGCAGCGGCAGCTCTGGGATGGTGCCTCAGACAGCAGCTGCTCCAGCCAGTCTGAGACCCATACTGCATGTGATGCCTGTGAGCACCACGGGCAGCACAGGTCGCGGCCTGGCTGTAGTAGGCGCTTGTGTGGCACAGTTCCCAGAATGGACACCGTGCATGGTGCAGTCCAGCTGGGGTAGGAACTGCATCCAGCATGATGCCTGCTCCAACCAGTCTAGGATCCACGCCGCTTGCAGCACAGGTCCCAGATTGCTGCAGCAGGCACCAGATCCAGTATGCTGGAGGGAGGAAAGCTGTAGGCCCCACCTAGGCTGCAGACTGTCCCCAAGCCACTCATCCAGGCCACGGGGTGGGTGTTTGAGCATATAACATGTGCTAAAGCATGCAACATGATACAAAATGTCAAAGTGAAAGGAAACATGTTTTGTTTAAATGCTTCCAGTTGTTAACAAATCATAATCATGCTGATGTGACTGTGACACTTCTAATGGATATGCCAGCCACACTTTTGGATGGATATGCCAGCCACACTTTTGAAATTAGCTGTACTAACAGGAATTAATGACAGACAGGTCCAGACAAGAAAAGTGTTAACAAACTGTTGTTTAAAATTCTGTCCTTAGTAAAATCTGAAAAAAGACAGTCAAATTCATTAATCTCTGATAAATTAAACAGGTGCACTGTACTATAAAAGAAGATATGTAAGCCCCAAGATAAACATAATCCAAATCTGACCCCATAGTGCTTTTCTGCCTGAAAGACTTTGGTATTTTCCTTGAACAAAATCAAAGAACAATCTGATTTTATTTTAGCTATTATTTATGGATAATAAATACCTTTGATTTGGATACAAATGAAGAGACAGCAGACAGACAATATCTTTTTGTTTACTATTGAATGCATATTTTGTAGCCCTCTGCTTTACTAAACATATTTGGATTCACTGCCGTTTAAAACGCATTGGTGAAAAAGTCTTAAAATGTCTTACAGAGTAGTGATCAACTCACAGGATAATAGGTGTTTGTAATAAGATGGCCACAAATACGTAAACCAACAGTGAATGCATTTTCATTCTTGCAAGTAGATGGCACTTCACTGAGCCACCTGCAGAGCAAAGTAATTGCCAGGCAATAAAGGCAAACCAAGGCAACCATCCGAAATGTAGAGGTTAGTAACTTGTAATCATATGCCTTGCCTGCAAAGTCTTTGCAATTTGCACCTTTAGTCTGCAAAGTGAGCAACAGCTACATTAACCTCTGCAGTTTCCCCTGCCAATGCTTGCCTCTTTGGCAGACTTGGGTTCAGACCTGGCCCATTAAAGCCCTACAATTCAGATCTGGCACTCAAGGAGCCTTCTGGTCCAGATCCAGCCTGGGGGACCAAACCAGTTTGACACACTGGTGTGGAGTAATACAGATTGTATGAAAATATTCTGAGAACACAGTGCAAATTCCATAGCACTTAGCTTTGGCTGTGTTAAACACCATTACTTAAACATACCATGTGATGAGTAATATTTATCTCAAATGTATATTCTGAAGATACATTGTTTACAGATGTCATTAATGGCACAGTCTTATTGAAACATCAACCTCAAAACCCTAGCCAATATATAAAGCAAGAGAAAATGAGAGGGTCATTATATCGTATCTTCTTAATAAATGCCCATCACAATGTTTTATGACTGTTTTTGTTTGGTGAGACCGTACTGATAGAGGATTTTTTTAATTAAACTTCTAATTAGTGTCAAGTTGTCAGATGGGCATCTGCCTGCTAAATACACCTGGGACAGATAGGTTTGGGGGCGTGGAATATAAACCTATTCAAATGATCCTTGTCTGACTTCGTCTTATATGGTAAGTAGGAATTTGACAGATTCACACCATCACAACGGAGTATGATGGTCTGTCTGCCTGTTATGTACTCCAGTCTCCAATTCTATTTGAACAAATGCCCCCAAGCCTGATCCTGGAAGCCCTGTGATAAGATGGGGTCTCTGAATTTGAGGAAGAGAGAAGTAAAGAAGGCCATGGTCTGGCAGTATTTCCTTAGGATCCAGGGAGAAAATAACTTGTTAGGTTGGCTTTGCACCATCCCCTAAGGTCTGGCTCTAATTGATCAGCTGAGAATATTTCTAGTTTGAGAGTGGAGGAGTTCTTGTGGGCTTGAAGCCAACAAACACAACTCTTGTGCCGACTACCACTTGCCTTGATGTAGAGGGCTTCAGCTTCAGTTCTCAACTGGTGCATGGTAGGTATCTTACGGACTACATGCAGTCAGTTAAACTTAGAGCAGCATTTTGGCTGTTTGGACTTACACTGGAAACCCTTATGCTGCTCCTTGATAGTCCTCTTTGGTCCACATCCTGCTACAAGATTAAATCTAGCCCATGGCATTTGCCTTTTGACTTCAGTACGTCATGTTGAGGCTATTCAAGGCAATTTATTAAGTCACATGCAGGATATTAAAGATGGAAAAGAACCAAAAGATCACTAACTCCACGATCCCTTCTGTGCGTGTACCTTACGACATCTTTTTGCTTCTTTCTTTTGTTTTAAATGTCTCAGTAGGGTTTCATTTGATCATTTTGGGAACCCAAATGTAAACATTTTAATCATAATCAATGCATGCTTTTGGTTTTAGAGCTCTAACATTATTTCTATTCTTGATTAAAAATATATCGTGAAGTGAGTTTGAAATAACCTCAGCATGGTTTCCAGTGTTATTTCTCACAGAAAATTTGGAAATGTCTGAACAGTTAGCTTTTATATTGAAAGCAGTGGAAAGAGAATGTAGAGTTATCAAACTCGGGCCATGGACAGATGCGGTGTTTGAATTTTCCCCACTTCGGGCAGTACTGAAGTAGTGTTTGTGTTCAGGAAAGAAAGCCACATTCCTAGTGAGTGATGATCAAGAGAGGAATGTAGGACATTAAACTGGGAGAGTAATGTCCAGATTACTGAAATTTAAGAGACCTGCACCTCTAAACTGTTAAAAAGAGTGCTGATACATTTTTAAGTGAAAACTTGCAAACCATTATCATAGTGGAAAATGTGGTTAAGTACTCATTTAGGCAGGGTAGATCAGTTAACAATTTAGGGTATTTAGCATATTCTTCCATTCACAGTGTATGATCTCCTGAAAACTACATCTGGAATAACTAAAAAACAGAAACATTTTATCAAGCCTCTATATATAGTTTATACACAATACACTAGCCTGGGAACACTCAAAAATGGTAAAGAAACTTCTTTTCAATTAGGCTTGGTTCATTTTGTATCATTTATTTATTTTTCTTCAGTTTTGTTTATGAATGTGCAGAAGGTGAAATGTAATAAAACTTTATACAGGGACGTAATAATTTATTGCAATGACTGATCTGTTTAATTCATTGAGTTTTCTCCTTTTTTCCCCATAGGATTCTGTTCTGATACTGTGTCCATAACTGATGTATCCCATAGTGAATCAATTGAAGAAAGCCCTTTTCGTCCTCCCTCCCATTCGTTTTCTGCTGTCTTTGATGAGGATAAACCCATAGCTAGCAGTGGGACATACAATTTAGACTTTGACAACATTGAGTTGGTAGATTCTTTCCATACCTTAGGACCAAGCTCTTCAGACACAAAGAATCGTGACCCCAAAGCGAATGTTCGAAGAAAATCAACAGATTCTGTTCCAGTTGCCCGATCTACGTTATCTCGATCTCTTAGTTTGCAAGCTAGTGATTTTGATGGAGCATCTTATCTTGGCAATAATGAGACAGTAACTCCAGCAGCCGATGTGTATAATACAGGTTCAAGTAGTGCGTGTAGTACCCTTAAGCGAACAAAAAAACCCAGACCCGCTTCCTTAAAGAAGAAGCAGCCAGCAAAAAAACCTGCAGATGCCCCACCTGTGAAAGAAGTCCAACAAGAGCCATCAGACACTAGTATAGCAGTCTCTCCCCCATGTGAGGAAAAGCCAGTATCTGAGGCAAAGGTTGATTCAGTTAAACCTGAATGTCCTGAGCCTTCCCAAATCTCTGCTGAAAAGCAGGAGATCCCTGCTGTGCCTGAAGCCTCCTATCCTTTTGATCCAGATAATTTTGAAGCGATTAGTGCATTTAGTACTGGCAGCAAAGTGCAAAACTCTCCCTCTGCCAGTAAGAAAACTCTACCTCTTACAACGGCACCAGAGGCTGTGGAGGTGACTCCCTCTGACACTGGAGGGCAAGAGGATCCTCCAGTCAAAGGCCTTGCTGTGAGGCTGGAGTTCGATTATTCTGAGGAAAAGGGCAGCAGTGAAGACCAGCCAGAAAGCACTCCTCTACCCAAAAAAGTAGGCAAAAAGCCTGGTGCCAAAATGCCACTAAGGAGGCCAAAGACTAAAAAGACAGTGGAAAAGCTTGACAATGCTCCTACCACACCAACCAAGTCACCCACTGATCCAAACGATATCCCTATCACAAAAGGCTCTTATACTTTTGATATCGACAAGTGGGATGATCCCAATTTTAACCCATTCTCTTCCAGTACAAAAATGCAAGAATCTCCTAAATTGCCTCAACAAACATACAGTTTTGATCCAGATATGTGTGAGGACTCTGTTGACCCTTTCAAGTCGTCTTGTAAGATAGCCAGCTCACCTTCTAAGTCTCCAGCCTCCTTTGAGATACCAGCCAATGCCAGTGAAACAAATGGAACTGAAGGAGACAACTTAAATAAACCTGCAAAGAAGAAGAAGACACCACTAAAGACGTAAGTTAAAGGGTAGAGATGTTTCTTGGATAGAAAGCCTGACACATCCTATCATAATTACTTTGGTTTTATATTCAAAGAAGCTTCGTTCAGGTTAGGAACAACGTGATAGGGAATAGATTACCAGACACTTAAATTCACGTCTGTGTCTTACAGTGTTAGTCCTGGTGTAGCGAGGCACTCAGCACAAAATGACTTGATGTGAATATGGAAATATGTCAAAACTGACTAGATCAGTGGATGAATGGTTGGATTATTTTAAGCAGGACCAGGTCCAACAGTCGCTATGTTCCTTTTGATTTCAATGTGTCTATAATTGCACTTTAAAAATGTAGTGCCAAATTTTTGAGGTTCATTTTGTATATCATTGTTGTGTTTGCAGTGAATTCATCAGTGCAGAACAGACAGTTCCCTGACCTATTAATTAGGGGCTGATCTTGTGACTCGTTACTCCTGTACATAGTCCTTAGGCTTGAGTTTTGTTTCCTTAAAAATACTTTACGGGTCTACAAGAGGATCAAAATACCCTTTGACTGCTACATATTAGGCAAATCTTCTCTTTCCATATCCATTTGCTAAGTTTGTGAGGAGAATCTTTTATCTGCCACATTTGTTCAGTTAGTTAACAATTTAGTGCTTAGCTTATTCGATTAAGTTATGGATGGTGTTTTTTCTCCAGTCTTACTCTACAGGTGCATTTTTTTTCCTAATAATGAGCTTTACATTTTGTGAAATGCCCAAAGTTCAGAGCAGTTTAGAAAATAAAGAAAGATGAATGCAGAGCCAGGGCATGTCTTTATTCCTCCTGCAATCCAAAGGATGCCCCAAAATAAAGCATTCCATTTTGGCCCCAAAAAAACCAAGTCTAAAGAAGTCATTCTGGATGGTAATTGAGGGAAGGGAATTCAAATTTCATTCTAGATGGGGTTTCAGCAGCCAGGGCCTTACACTAGCAATTTACAAGTAGCAGAAAGTTCCCTGTGTTGGGATGTAGGAAATGAAGCCATGAGGTTTGTGCACATGTTGTGAATCGCTGGAGCAGTAGCCTACTTCAATAGTCATCAAAACCAGATGTATTGTAAGGGACAGGCTGGTCCTTAAATGCCTTAGGACTTCCAGAAGTTGGAGTCTGAGTAGAAAACACTGCATGAAGTTCTTACTAGAGAATTGCCTCCTCCTTTTCCCCTCTGGAGTAAAATTTTCTTCCCTGTAGAAAAAAAAAAGCAGGGAAATGCTTTGTTAGGCAGTGGCAGATTAAGGGTTATTGGGGCCCTGGGCAAACAGAAAATCGGAGGCCCCCCACCAGGCAAGGGCAGGTTGCCTCTTTGCCCACCAGGAGGCTGCAGCCTCCTCGGGATATCTGGGGTGAGCCAGGGGGTGCGAGCGCTGCTGAGGTGAGAGCAGCTCTGGCTCGCCCCTCCGCCCGATGGGGGTTGCGCAGCCGGGGCTATGGTCCCCAGCGCTGCAGGACGGGCTGGGGCCAGGGCTAGGGCTGCCTACTCCTCTGCTAACCCTGGTGGGGTGGAGCTATCCCAGCAGTGCAGGTGCCAGCGGCTGTCTGCAGACAGCGGAGAGTGGGAGCGGAGCCACCCATGGGGCCTCCTGGCAACAGACGGCTCCGGAAAGATGCTGCCACCGGCGTGGAGCCCTGTGTCTGCCCCTAGTCTCTGGCCTTGGCTCGGCAAGAGAGGAGGAGGTGCACGCTGGGTGCCCATGGCCAGGGTGCTTGTCTAGATTGGCAGGGGCCCATGTGTTAATCCGCCCCTATTGTCAGGGCTCTGCAGGAGGCACGGAGCTCCTCTGCACCCGCTGTTTTTCCTAAGGTAACTCTGTTTCATTAGTTGTGCTTCCACGGATTCACCGGTCCCCAGAAGCCTCTGGAGTCTACTTTTTTGCTAAGACTCTGCATGCTGATGGTTATATCCTAGCAGTGGAATAGCCTAGGACGACAATACTGTTTGGGGAGATTTGCTATAGAGCATGTTGGGATTGAGATGGGATCTTTGCCGTTGTCTCTAGCGTGCCAAAAGCACCAAAGTTTTCTACAAGATACATTTCAGAAGAACCATGATTTAGGAAGGATGAGACGGGAACACAGGGTTCCCGCTGTGGAAGGAGATTCACCTGAGCAAGAAGTGGAAGGAAAGGTGACATTGCTCCAGAGGAGTTGTTTAGAGGCAGAAAGGAAGCTCTAAGCGTGAACTAGCCTCCTGGTCTTCATTTCAGAAATCACCATGCTTAGTTTAATTTGCTACGTCAATATTTAAAGATTTCATTTATTTTATTAAACTGATCCAAGGGGTAGTTTTGAGGAGCCAGGAGTTATTAACATTAGTAAGAGCCATAGAAACAAATCCTTGCTGACCACTTTGAAACTGTATCCTTCAGTGTGTTTTCTACTGTGTGCACAGTGATTTCCAACTTATCCCCATGGGATGTGAAGGAGCCAGTCACTGGCTTAGACTTTGTGTAGGACTTTGATGTCACAGCGCCATGCAGTATCATGCATACCAGCGTCCCCACAAAGAGCCAGTTGCTCTCTTGAATGCAGGTATAACCATTGTAAACCTACATCCACCACTGTACCAAAAGAGGCTTCAGCTTGACTCAGATTGCTTTCCAATCATGTATACATATTTAACTGCACTTCTCAGATGGATCATCTGGCTCACATGTTACTGAACAAAGAGCAGCTGCTGTTCCCTCAGTGCCTGCTTAGCTATGAATAAAGAGTGGGTGGCCCCTTTAGATCCAACTCAGCTGTCCCAAGTACTTGATGATTGGGAAGCATCCAGTGTTTCAAAAGGCTGTTTGGACAGGGGGAGTGCTCATTCTCAAGATCCCGTCCTGCCTGAAAAGTGCAGTATGAAATTTGACAGGTACGGACGCAGCTGAAGACTGGCTAGTGTAGGATATTCAAGTAGAGCTGTCTCAGGTTTCAGAGGGCGGTAGACAGCTGTGCTGGTCTGAAGTCAAGCAGAAGGCAGGGTAGATTTGCACCTTATAGACCAACTAAATCAGTGGGCTTCATCCAAAGTAAGCAAGCTGCTTCTGAAGCTTATGCTATTCCTCTCTTAGTCTATAAGGTACAAATCTACTCTGCTTTCTGTCATTTTTTCAGAGCAGTCAACTGAACTCTCAAAACTCAAACTTGAGTTCCTTTAAGAGCTAAAATTATGAAAACATCAAGAAACATAATTTTTTTCTTGGCCTTTATTACACAGACAAGGAGATTTTTTCTGTCACTTTAATTGTGGATCAATGGACATGAAAGAGCCCAAAGTATTCATGTGGTTTACTTAAACTTTAATGGCTACTGATTTCCTTGGGAATGTTTTTTACATACCTGATAGTAACAAATATTTTATTTTGACAAGAAAACAGTTGGTCAGCCTCAAAAAAGGCGAGCTTGGGTAGAACACTGAAAGGAGATTAACTGACTTACCTTTGAAAATGGCTTTTATAAGGTGAAATGGCATAAATCATAACCCTGGATTTGAAACATAAACTGGCTTAAGAATGATCCCTCTCCTCATCCTCCCCTTTCCACCAGATACATGTTTAAGATTGTGCTGATATCAAAAGTGCATGACGAGTTTTCTCTAACACATTAATAGTGTCTGCAGGTTTATCCTTTTTGTCAGTTCCTTCTGTCTGTCTCTCTTTTCTTTATCTTATTTGTCTTAGGATGGTAGAAGATGTGATGTCTGTATGTTCTCTGTTGTAAGTAATTTTAACTTACTGTGGCTGTTATGGTGAAAGTGCCTTATTTGAATGTTGGGCTTTTTCCTTTTAATTTTTACTTATGCATTTATTTTCAGCATCATCAATTATTTTTGGGCATGGAGCTTTATATTACCAGTGTTCTTTTTCTGGCTAATGTAGAAATTATTTTAAGTGACGCTGCCTGGCTGTGAATGAGCTTGAGGAAACTGTTATATCAGTGTCTGGTTGCCTGTCAAGGAAGATTAGCTAATTCAAGCTATATATATTTGATGTCTTAGGTAAAAGCATTGAAATTTCCTTTTCCTTATCAGCTTGCTTAGTATGCTATGATGATGTACAACACAGTAATGAAGTATTTCTTAAACATTTGATAAAGTTTATAATTTCTTTATAAAGGTATAAGTTGCTTTCATTATCTACATTTTCATAATGTAGTAATTTATGGTTGGCATAGAACAGCCAAACAGCTGGTCAATTGTTCCATCATGTGTGCCTCTGGGTGCAGTATTGATTTATCCTCTAGCAACTGAAACCCTTTATTGTGATTTTTTTTGATGAAACAGTAGTCATCAGTTAGGGCAGAGCTGGTCAGCTATGCCCACAACTGCACCTAAACTTATCTAAAAAGGTTTTATTGTACTACTAGTAGTAGGTTATATATAGCTTTTGCCAAACCAGTACAATAAAATGAGCAACAAAAATTATATATAAAAATAGATAAGACATTTCTATGAATCATAATTTTTACTGAAAGCATACAGTAAGGAGATCCATTCTACCAGTTTACACAAAATGCAGACAGAATATATAGAGTCTTTTGATATAAGACAAAAGATCAAATGAAGCAGTGAACAATAAAATAAAATAGGAGAATTCTTTTTTGAATAATTCCACCTCAGATTATGTAGCCTGTTTTCCTGCTCCTTCCATGTGAGTTTGGGCAAGTTGGGCAACTTGCTTCTGGAGAACTTATAGACCCCCAGTTTATCTGGACCCGTTTTCTTTAGGGAATATGTTGAATGTTTTGGTTGAAACCAACCAGCCTCCACTATTCTGTAACTGTACATAATAATACATATGCAAATTCCTTTTTCCATGTGCTTGACTGGAAAATGTGAAATCTTGAAGGGTTTAAGATTGTTCCATTTTAAGTTTATGCTGTGAGATGTGTTAAAACCAGAATCACAGTTGCCACATTAGTCCATATATTCCTTTTAAAATACCGTGTAGATTCAAGTTCTGTCCTGGACTCTTCGTTTTCCTATCACATGTGTTTGAGGATATAGTTTGGGCCTCATGTTATGCATATCCTACCACCAAACTGTCTGGGCAGTTCATCAAGGACATATTGATTTCTTAAGGTACTTGGACCTGAATATAGTGTCTCAGGTCATCCCAGTTTTTATCCCCATATCACCCTTGTGCCATTATGCTCGTTTTACAAATGGGGAGCTGAAGCACAAAGGAACTAGTTAAGAGTGCTGACAAACGTGCAGGGTCTCACTCTAACTCATGGCACTTCACAGAAAGCACTGTGTGTTAGAGCGACTCTCTTTCCCCCGACTCAACAGACATTTGCTATTGTGTGGGGGGGGGAGGGGTTGAGCTCCACTTTGGAGCTGATCCAGGAGGAGCTGCATGTCTGCAGCCTCACTCCCCTAAGGCTTCCCTCCGTTGCTCTGCGCTCCACCCACCACAGCTCAGGTGCTATCTGCAGGAAGGGAGGGGAGGGAGCTCTAGACTGGGGTTTGCTCAGCCTGAGCTGGAGTAAGGGTAAATGGATTCCCCCTTCCCTTCCTGCAGACAGCACCAGGGGTGGGGCTAGGCTGGGCTAGACAGAAGTTAATGAAGGTGCACTGCCTTAGAGACAAAACTCTTTGGGTAGAGATGATACCTTTTACTAAACCAACTAAATAGTTGCAAAAAAAACTTTTTTCCTTGTAAGCCTTGGAGCACATTCATCTGAGTCCTCATTACAGAAGAGTTTATTTGTCCTGCGATCTGTCACTTTTAAAGTGCTTTGCAGCTGCACACTGCTGTGTCACGGCATGGCTGTAGGGTGCTTTCAAGGGGCCAGTCGTGGGACAAACTTAAGTTCCCTAAGTTTCTCACAGTTGCTGTGGCTGTGGCAAAGTAGGAACCTGAATCCAAGTCCTGTGCCAGTTCCCTGACCACTGGACAATTCTCTCTGTCAACAGTCATCAATATTTAATTTGAACAAGCTTTCCCTCTGGATTTAGACCTCTGGCAAGCCTGTTTAATTTGATTACTATACTTAGTTTATTGTGCTGGTTTTGGGATCTAAGGCCTATCCAAAATGCATGCTAAAAGCATGGGGTTGTGGGGTTGCTGTCAGTTGGAAGGATGCCCAAATAAGGAAGTGGGTTTTTTTCTTTAGCTGTCTATTACTAAGTGTAATATGCTGATGATTCTCTGAAGTATGGTATATTTACAGTGTTAATTTTGTTTTTAGTGATACATTTAGGGTGAAAAAGTCACCAAAAAGATCTCCACTTTCTGACCCTCCCTCACAGGTAAAGTACTTTCTTATTTTAATACATAAACCTATTGCTTGTTGCAGGAAAAAAACATTGACACAGCATTGGTATAAATGAACAGGTCTGTGGTTTGGTGAGGATTATGAACATTTTGTCCTCCAGTCATAATACTTTATTAAATCTATAGTCTCGGGATTCATTAGTGCAGTGCTAATTAGGCCGAGCATTTGTCCTAAGAATTCCAGTTGGATTGCTGCAGAGTTCTCTTTTGGAAGCCCTGTGCTGTGATATTAATACATTAATGATAAACATTTATAAATAAAAGTCTGTTGTGGCTCAGGAAAAGTACTAAAGTAACTATTAACCCAGATATTTTTAGGCCAGTAAATTGTAAATGTAGTAAACAAAATAAAAATGATGTGCTGAAAGGGAAGTAGAAATAAAGCAAGTGTGTTAGTCTGCAGGGAATATGTGTCTGCACTGAAACAGCAATTTTATTTGTCATTGTAAAACACAGGTGGGTGGCCTTTCTTGAGCTCGGAGTTAACAATGGCTGTGCCATGTATGAGATAATGGGCTTTTCTAACTGCTTTAATCTGGGGTATTTCTTTTCATGCTATTGTTCACCTCCCATATTATCTCTCCTAACCTTTCATTTAAGCTGGCTGACATTGTAGAAGAAGGGGAGGACTTAAGACCTCTGAGGTCTGTGTTTATACAGTATTTGCCACCATAAGGGAAATACTCAAGTTAGCTGTTCTGGGAAACCACATAGGTTATGTGCCATTTATTTACATCACGTGCCTGAGCTTTACCAGCAAAAAAGTGTTTCTACTCTTGAAATTTTCTCAGAACTTACATGCCTAGCCACCAGCTCCATGTATTAGCAGTATTCTGCATTAGCAGAATTTATAAACTTCCACGTACACCCTGGAGCATGAGTAACATGAAAAAAAGTGTGCAGTAAAGGCAACAAAGAAAATTTACAATGGTTCCTCTCGTATGGCGAAGTCATTTTTTCACAGAACAAGTAAAATGCAGTTGGCTCATTTTCAGGTTACCTCATAATCCACACAAGTTGCCGTATCGTTGTTCTAAAATAATTGCAGTGCGTAGAGTAAAGCAGGGGTGGGCAACTAGTTGGGGCAGAGGGCCGCTTACTGAGTTTTGGCAAGCCATCGAGGGCCGCATGACAGCCAGCGCAGAGCAGATTAATATTGATTTTCTAAATTTTTTAGGGGCCTGCAGGCTTGTTAGAATGGCTTG